CCTTTATGTTTATGTGATTAATAAAACTTACGTTGTCATTTTGAATAAAAAAAAGATGTTTTTTTTTTGTTAATAGTGAAACCTGAGCTGTTGAAATAAACTCACATTGTATCGCATCCATTGTTATGACTTATGAGCAACCAAACCTCGTCCATAGCAAGCGGAACTTCACAAGAAGACAATATGATTAAGACATTGTAAGAAAACCTCAGTAAAAACTAACGATACCGTTGGGAATTCAGTCCTTGATTAAACCTGCAAAAGAGAAAAGCTTTAATAGAAGAAGAAGAAGAAGAGCAAAGAAGAAGAGAAGTGCTCACAAGAAGAGGAGCCAAAGAAGAAACAAAGTCTCGTGACTTCTTAAGAAAGTCAACGAAGAGAATTGTGTGTTTTTGTCACAATTAAGAAGGCTTGGGCTGGAGTTAAAGCCCACATAGTATTTGGGGTTTGGTTACTCATTGGGCCATTAGTGGAGATGAGTCCAAAATATGTGTTGTGGCTTGTTTAGCTACCATTACATTTTTTGTACTTGAAGCCTTTGGTAAGTTTGATATAACTAGCAAAAAAATTATTAATCAAACTAGAAATAAATTTATTAGGCTTTGACTCAAATCAGTATATATACCGATATTAAACTAGAAATAAATTTATTAGTCAAAATAGCAATAAATTTATTAAGCTTTGACTCAAATCAGTATATATACCGATATGTATAAGTGGGGAAATATATATAAAATAACAATGAGTTTACATCTAGTTCTCTGTTTATCCTCTTATTTGCTTTTAACTCAAGCGGCCGTTGGAAGCATTGATGTGAGATTTCATAACTTTTAGTTTGTTTTTGATTCTTTAAAATTTGGTATTTTCAATTTCTTAAGAATTGTTTTGCAGCCTATTTTAAAAGATTTCGATTGTGTTGATATATACAAACAACCGGCTTTTCAACATCCATTGTTGAAACACCACAAGATTCAGGTATGGTGAAAAACAATGTATGTAATAGAGTAAATTTAATCTTGTAATTCTATATATTATTTTTTAATCTTGTTATTATTGTGCTATGGTTTTAGGAAAAATTTAATTCGAAAGAAAGGCTTAGAAGAAAAGATGAATATCATCAAACAAATGATAAAAGTTGTCCAAAAGGAACTGTACCAATTTTAAGACAAACAAATGGAATTGAGAGCGTTCATCTCGACACACTCGAATATCCCGGCCAACATGTAATTTTATTTTATTCATGACTTTATTAAAATATCAATACCATTCCATATAAATTTTTATACACCTCACATCACAAAAAATGATTATTTGCACTCGCATTTTTCTCCGTCCTTGTATAATTGTAATACAAGTAAAACATTCTTAAAATAATTAGACTTATTTTCACGGATGTACAGTTTGCAGTAATCGAAAATGTTTTAGATGGGAGCATCTATCGAGGAGCAGGAGCTATGATAAGTATTCATAATTTAACTCTACAAAATAACCAATATAGTAAAAATCAAATCTGGTTAGAGAATGGACCTCGTGATCAACTCAACAGCATACAATTTGGTTTGGCGGTAAGTTGTTACCAAACTTAAATAGCAAAAGCAAAATTTGTACTTCATAGTTCATCCACATTCTTTCAATTTTACACAAAGAACTTAATATATATATATATATATATACTTTCATAAAATAAATAATGTTAAAATCTCATATTGAAAGTTTAAAGGGACCAATATTACTATATAAGATACATGGGTCAATCTACTCACTGCGAATTAATTTTGAGTTGAATGCCAAAAAAAATTAACTTACAAACATATATAATTATTAAAAATACAATATACTCAATAAAATTTACTTTAAAACTATATAATAACTATTCATTAATACGAAAGGATAACTAATTTATGGTGGTTTAGTGGTTAGAAAACTCATCTTGAAATATCGAGGGACTAAAATTTGAATATTCTCGTACAAGTGCTGATGCATTTGACAAGAAAAAATATTATCATTCCACATGCTCAGATCCCTTTGTTATCAAAAAAAAAAATATACACACATAAAGATTAATGTTTTTTTCAAACAAACATGTTATTAATTTAATACTTATATTCAAATATATCTCAAGTGTTTTTATGAATTTTATTTAATACAGGTACATCCAAGATTATATGGCGACACTTTCACGCGGTTTACAATATATTGGACTGTGAGTAAATTTTCTCAATTATGGTTCTGTATACATGGCAATAAATACAACAGTTCATTTTCATTTTATTGTTAAGAACCGTGACAATAAAATTAAAATCAGACCATTTTTTCCTTTCTTCTTGCATAATATATTTTACCTTTTTAATTCATTAGGCAGATGGCTATAAAAGAACTGGATGCTATAATACAAAATGTCCTGGCTTCATTACTGTTTCTCGAGTTCCCTTGATAGGAACAACGTTTAATGATTCTTCTGTTTATGGTGGTAAAGAAACAGTTTTTACTAAACCGCAAGTTTTTCAGGTAATACTTTATCTACTTTATATTTAATGAGAATACTAGAATTTCTATTTCTTATACTATAGATCATAATTTTAAAATTTTAATTTAGGTTTTGAATTACTTGAATCCATTCTCATTAGAATTTATTGGAGTTTTAAAGATTCCTTCAGTGTTTCTTCTTCAAATCACATATATACTTACAAATTTTATAGATTTTTGTTTAACGTTTTTCTTTTATTTTCTGTTTTAATATTATTTAGGATGGTTTCAGTGGAAATTGGGTACTAAAATTATATGACGAAGTTATTGGTTACTGGCCTAAAGAGTTATTTACTCACTTAAATAAAGGAGTTTCTTTGGTACGTTTTGGAGGAAATACATTTCCATCTCCGGAGGGAATTAGTCCTCCAATGGGAAATGGCCATTTTCCAGTTATCGACTATCATAAAAGTGCACATTTTTCATTTGTCAAAGTTAAGAATTCGAACTATCAAAGCATCGATATTGAAGATAAGAAAACAAGACTTTATGCAGATTCTTACCAATGTTATAGACTAACGTATTGGGGTTATAGCAAGTCGAATGGGGTATCCTTCTCCTTTGGAGGACCAGGTGGAAATTGTGGTACTTAATGAATCAAATATGTATCAACCAAAACTATATCAAATTTGCAAGAGAAATAAAAATTGACTAAACTATATCCATGTTGTGTATGAGTAGTATTTTAAGATTCTTCTTCTCTCTTCCCATCCTCAATGCTCGACTGGTGAAATCCAATTCAGTAAATTGTAGATGGAGCCTCAAATGGATTCAGCATTCGATCCTCAATTGCTCTTGGAGGAGTCACTTCTCATCAATCCATGAAATTGATACTTTATCATCATCAAAATCAGGAGCTCAGTATTATTTTGATTCGAAAGACTCTGCCTTTCTCGGGCAATCGAGCAAAAGAATCGTCTTTTGTTTGAGTTCATCATCACTACCTAATGAAGAAGATGTAGTGCATCAAACAGTGGAAAGTGATAGTCCAGAATTACCTGGAGAAAATGATTTGATTCGAGTAGTTGGTGATAATGATCTGAGTAACACTGGCTCGAAAGGTTTCAAACAGACGACGACAAGATCGAATCTTGTTGCTAAACAAGTTTTTAGTATGCAATCAGCTCTGCATCTAGGATTTGTCTCTCGGGTTGACACTACTTCCGTAAGATTTTTTGAATCAATCACCTTTCATTAGTGGCGAGCTTCAAGTCTGCTCTTCAAGTACAAAAATAAGAATTCTTTCAACTTATAAGTTCTTCAACTAAATAAACTTCAAAACTTGGTAAAATCTGCAAGAAAGTTGAGTTGACAGTTTGGAAGAAGAGAAGCAAAAGAAATAAGAGCTACAAACACCTAAATTAGTAAATACCCCTACTTACTAATCTCTAAGACATTGAATGATATCCTTAAAACAAACATCGGAGCCGGAACATTCACGGAATGATGGCAAATGGACATGAAGCTCCTGATTAATCAATCAGAGCCTCTATGTCTTAACATGGTCTCATGAAATACAAAGACACACAGAGATCTCCTTAACAGAACTTCCAGTGGTTGTCACAGTTAACACATGTAACATAGGTCGTCATTGGCTCATCAACACTTCTTGTTTGCATCTGATAGTAGGTGCATTTGCGTTGACCACACCGCCCGCACTTGAACTGGTCGGTAGATGCTTTTGCTGCAAGACCACGCTCGCAATCAAACAGGGCTTTCTCTTTGATCTGGTTGTTCTCTTGTTTCCTCTTGTCGCTTGCCATTTCTTCAGCAGACAATGTGATGAGTTTCTCTGGTGCAATCAGCTCTGAGTTTAGGATTTGTCTCTCTGTAAGATTATGAAACTCCGTAGAGAAATATATTCATGAGAAGAAGAGCAAAGAAGAAGAGAAGTGCTCACAAGAAGAGGAGCCAAAGAAGAAAAAAAGTCTCGTTCGTGACTGAAGAAGAAGAAGAAAGTCAACGAAGAGAATTGTGTGTTTTTGTCACAATTAAGAAGGCATGGGCTAGAGTTAAAGCCCACATAGTATTTGGGTTTAGGTTACTCATTGGGCCATTAGTGGAGATAGGTTTTCAATGCAAATGTTGTGGTTTGTTTAGCTTTGTACTTGAAACCTTTGGTAAGTTTGATATAACTAGCAAAAAAATTATTAATCAAACTAGAAATAAATTTATTAGGCTTTGACTCAAATCAGTATATATCCCGATATTAAACTAGAAATAAATTTATTAGTCAAAATAGCAATAAATTTATTAAGCTTTGACTCAAATCAGTATATATACCGATATTTAGAACTGGAGAAATATAAATAAAATAACAATGAGTTTACATCTAGTTCTCTGTTTATCCTCTTATTTGCTTTTAACGCAAGTGGCCGTTGGAAACATTGATGTGAGATTTCATAAATTTTAGTTTGTATTTTTATTCTTTAAAATTTGGTATTTTCAATTTCTTAAGAATTTGTTTGCAGCCTATTTTAAAAGATTTTGATTGTGTTGATATATATAAACAACCGGCTTTTCAACATCCATTGTTGAAACACCACAAGATCCAGGTATGGTGAAAAACCAATGTATGTAATAGAGCAAATTTAATCTTGTAGGTCTATATATATATATATATATTTTAATCTTGTTATTCTTGTGCTATGGTTTCAGGAAAAAATTAATTCGAAAGAAAGGCTTAGAAGAAAAGATGAATATCATCAAACAAATAATAAAAGTTGTCCAAAAGGAACTGTACCAATTTTAAGACAAACAAATGGAATTGAGAGCGTTCATCTCGACACACTCGAATATCCCGGCCAACATGTAATTTTTTTTTATTCATGACTTTATTAAAATATCAATACCATTCTATATAAATTTTTATACACCTCACATCACAAAAAATGATTATCTGCACTCGCATTTTTCTCCTTCCTTGTATAATTGTAATACAAGTAAAACATTCTTAAAATAATCGGACTTATTTTCACGGATGTACAGTTTGCAGTAATCGAAAATGTTTTAGATGGGAGCATCTATCGAGGAGCAGGAGCTATGATAAGTATTCATAATTTAACTCTACAAAATAACCAATATAGTAAAAATCAAATCTGGTTAGAGAATGGACCTCGTGATCAACTCAACAGCATACAATTTGGTTTGGCGGTAAGTTGTTACCAAACTTATATAGCAAAATGTGTACTTCATAGTTCATCCACATTCTTGCAATTTTACACAAAGAACTAAAAAAGACTTTATATATATATATATATATATATATATATATATATATATATATATATATTTATTCTCATATAATATATATTGC